GGCGTCGTTTTGATTCCCACATATATACCCTATTATAACTTTGAAACCCTAGCCTTTCTCATTTTGTTTCACTCAGCCGCTCAAATATTTCCCCCTCCTCTCATTTTTTTCTTTTAACCGAAAAGGGAGAGGCCTAAACGACCCCGACGAGGGGACCATCGGCCTCCCCTTTAGCCCTTTAACCTTTTCCCTTAAGACCCTTAAGCAAGTCGAACCCCAAACTAAAACACATCCCTTTTTACAATCTCTAAAAAATAAAACCCCAAAACAAATAAAAAGATTACATTGAGGCTTTGAGATCTTAATGGCTTCGGAAACACCAAGAAATTCTGGTTTAAGGGGTAAGAATCTTATTCTTTCTTTTTTTTATTTTCATGTTATCTCTTTGTTATCTCTTTTCTTCTTTTTTTCCTTACCTGAAAAATCGTCCTCCCTTTCGAATTGCTTCCCGCTGTTTTTATGATTTCTCTGTGCGTTTGGTGAGGGTAGTCCATAGGGAAATGATTTCTTTGAAACTCATTAAAAACTGGATCCACATCCTTATTAAATCTGATTTTTTTTAGAAAGTTCTTTGTTCATTGTTTTGCCAGATTTACTGAAGACGGTGGCTTGAAATCTATGTAAACAGCGACTAATGCAGCTCTAGTGGCTGCGCGACGCGAAAGTCCTAATGGCGGCAACAGCTGGAGATGATGGAAACCCTATGGGTTCAAAACAAAGCCTAAAATCACTTAGGCTAGGGTTTCTCAATGTTGGGCCTTCTAGTTTGGCCCCGAACTTATTGGGTTTGGGTTATTTATTATATGGACTTGGTTTAAGTTTAAATTTGATTTTGGCCATTTTTGTTTGGGCCCGTTTGGGTCTGTAAATGGATATTGGACATTTGAATATTTTATTATTATTTTGGTTCGATTTATCAAAATACTTGGGGTTTGAATCAAGCTGAGACGAAATTTGGTAATTACAGGTAGGTTTTATTATAATCACCGATATTTTAATTTTAATCAATCAAACGATTTAAGTATTTAAATGTTGTCAATCAAGCCATATGTTATTTACATTAACGAAGCTGACATAGTAGTTAAAAATTGATATAATTACACATCTGATTATCATTACTTACACATTCAATTAATGTGGTCATAATTTTAATTTATTCAATTAATTTAATTATCCAATTAGATAGCGATTTTTGTTACGATACATGTCAGCATGTAGTTAGAGAGTTTATTATTTTAGATATTAAGGTTTATTATTTTATATAGTTTTTCGAGATTATAAGATCATATTTTATCATATCTAAGCTAACAAATTAACATTCAACTCAGATGGTTGTCAAATTTTTAACCAAAAAAGACGTATTTAGAACATAATGAATAGTTGAGTGATCATTTTATAACTTTTAATAATTAGGGGAATCAACGAAGCAACATTATATAGTCGAGAGACCATTTTGTTACTTATGATAGTCAGGGGACCATTTGTGTACTTTACCCAAAAATATTGTACTCAACTTATTCTAATGTTAGATCTCCTATTTAGAGTTTAGATTTTAAGATTTAGGATTGAGATTTAAAGTATATGCTTTGATATTTTAGAATTTAAAATTTAAAATTTAAAATTTATGTTTTAAAATTTTAAAATGTTAAAATTAAAATAAGTGGATTATGTAAAATAAATTTATACAATTTATATATAAATAATAACACATTAATATAGATACTTTTTTCATGTTAATTATAGTGATATATTTGATGACCATTTGATAAGGCAAGAAAAAGTCAACAGTAAATAATCCACATTATTAAGTAAAAAAAATCGACTTCTAGAGGTGCTGACCAACTAATTAAATAGTGAGATTTTTTTTTAATTATCAGTAGAAATTGCATTAAAATTCCACCGAAATAAGTGTTAGTTTGCCAAAAACAAATTTCCAATTTCAAGTGTCAAATGTCAAATGTCCTAGAAGCTACTCTCTTCACTATTAAATGCAATAAGCTCATCTGTTCCCTAACTTCATTGTATTTGCATATTTGACCGCCCCGTACGAATTGGAATTGGAGACCACGTCAGCGTTCTAGTTTGGTGGCCTATGATTTAGGATTATGTTCGGCTGTAATTTTTTATTGCTATAATATAATTATAACATACTATTTATTTAATTTTTTAACCAATTAATAATAAATATATATATTCTGCAGTTCAATCCGAAACTTTAAAAAACATTAATATTTTTTAAAATTATTAAAATTACTTAATAAATTCTGATTATGTTAATTATAATTTTACTGAAGTTGTAAGTTCAATACTCACCGGAAGTAAAATTATTCTTCCTCTACCCATTAAGTGAAAATCGCTAAGAGAAATGGAGACCAAAACCAATAAAGAGAGGTTTAATAGAAAAGCTAGACAAGTGGTTTAGCCTGTCTACAACTCTACCGCTTTTGTCTGAATCTAATTAGAAGATAGAAACGTTTTTATACTGTCTTTACATTAAATATAGGGGGAGTATTCATTAGTAAATTAATAACCAACTCATGGAAAAAGGATAGATGGTTGAATATGAATGGGGAAGGTGGTTTGACAAATGAAACTGAACCAGATTCAATGTCAATGCAGTGTCCATTACTCAATTTTACTTCTTCCCCCCCCCCCCCCACAACCATCGACTGTACTTGATCCGATGTGGACTAGATATAAAGGGTATGGTGGATTGTTGAGTCCAACATTCACCTGCGAATTTATAAGATATGATGCATTAATAATTTTAATCCAAACGAAATGTGAGTTACTCTTCTGTTAACAAGATTTCCTTTTCTTCCCATATCATTTAGTTTAGTGGCGGATTCAAAAAAAATAAGAATGTAAATATATATATATATATATATATATATTCAATGATAGAAAATTTTTAATAAAGGAGTCAAATAAAAGTGAAATTATATATAAAATAGATAACTAACATAAAAGAAATTGAATATCAGAATGGACACTTGTTCATCTAACCTACACTTGCATCCACCAGTGACTTACTTGCCGGCTGCTGGCTTTGAGTTGGTCTAATTAAGTGCTTATTAGTAGGTCGGCAATTGATGATGGAAGCAGGTGTAGATTAGTAGTGAATTTTGGATGAAAATCAAAACAATTGTACTAAGAGCGGGGTTTGAACCCACGACCAACTGAGCCTGAAATTATGGTGTTAAACCTTAAATCATTTTTAATTGAGTTATCCTTGAGAAAACTTACAATAAAATCGAGTGGGGCTTTTTTGGATGACTCTTTGCATGTAGTAGAGTTATCGATCAATTTGATATATATGATTATAAAATGTGTAGCCACTGCAGGTTTCATCTAACTATGAGGGTAAAATTGGCCCAGCGGGTGAAAAAATTAGCTCATTAGTCTATCTCCAAAATTAATTTGGGATCTACGATAGATATTACAGTGTAAGTCAAACTCGTCACGTCCACATGACGAGTTTGTCCAAATAATATTTTTATTCAAACTCGTCACGTCGAGATGACAAGTTACAATAAAATTTTATTAGATTTTGTCGCATCAGAATGACAGATTCAAAAATATTTACATTTAACGAATTCCAAGTCATTATAATAAATATCGTAATTTCCAAAATAAAAAATATAATGTTGTATTAGGATAAATAATTAGCCCCCATATGGCATTAGTCCAAAATTGCCAAGTATGAGTATCAGACAAAGGCGGCCTACTTTCTTCGTATTTTTGGGCTTCTGGAAGTTGAAATGGAAAGATTGGGTCACAACATGTTTAAAGAAGTGGAGGATAGATATTAGGTGCTATTCATCATTTTAAAAGATGGGATGGACTTGCGATATCTCACTTTGTGTTTGTAGATGATGTCATCTTATTTTATAGGGTTGACAGAAATGTAGAAACAATTTTAAGTGTCTTAGGCCGATTTAGTTGCTTTTCGGGTCACAAGATCAATGGTCAGAAAACCCAAATTACTTTTCTTTGCAAATGTTTCTTACAATCTTCCTCAGGCTCCAATCAATTGACTATGGGAGCGAGGGTCACCTTAATTAGCTAAATCTGTTGTGATGGATAATCCATGCATGCAAATGGTGCTTATTTCGGCATCAATTTGAAATGAAATTGAGAAGATTCAATTGAGGCGATCAAATGGGATGAATGTTGCAAACCTTGAGGAACAAAATGTCTCTTCTCACGAGAGTTGATCACAAACAGGGACGCTTTATGGGCTAAAAGTCTGAGAGCCGAGTATTAAAATGGATGATGGGCTTTCTGAAACAAAACACAGGCCCTTCCTTTTTCTTGCAGATCATTATCTGAAGCATAGTTGGGTTCGGTCTATTGGGAATGGGAATGGTACCTCGACAAATATGGTTTTATGATCATGTTCTTCAAGTAGATGAAAGTTTTCTATGATGTTGGTTGGGAGCAGATAAGAAACAAGGAACATGTCATGTCCTAAATACATTTTTATGTAAAACTCGAAGAAGACAGATTTGAAACTTATTTGACGTTGATCTATTTATGCAGCAAATACTAGTTAGACAGCCAACAGGAAAAACAAAATAATGAAAAGGAAATAAGCATTGAAGCTGCCATCAACATCAATTATATTCCATTGTAAAGTGTAGAAAACCTTCGGCGATGAGATCAGGTTACGTCTTCAACTTTACATGTCTAATCTCAGGTCTACTCAGATTCCCATTATAATTAATATCATCATCAAGAATTGAACGATCCAGATGAAAAAGGAAGCGGAAACACGTAGCCGGTCGTGCCTAGGGTTTTGGAAGATATTCCTTCCCACCTTCAAAAATTAAAAGAAACAACGTTCTTAACCTAACCATGGTTAACATTTTAACTCTTTATCACATCATTCATCAGCTTAATTTAATACCTCCATTTCCCCTTACGTCTTCTTTCTCTTGCTATATTAATCTTCTGCTCACTCCTTACTTTCAGTTCGCTTCCTTCAAACTCAAGTTAAGATTCTGGGTTTTATTGATTTTCTCCACTTTTATTAAGATTGAACGTTGGTCGTTAGTTTATAAAAATGAGCTGCAATGGTTGTCGCGTGCTCCGAAAGGGGTGCAGCGAGACATGCGTGTTACGATCGAGCTTACGGTGGATCGAATCGCCCGAAGCCCAAGGCAACGCCACCTTGTTTCTCGCCAAGTTTTTCGGCCGTAGTGACCTCCTTTCTCTTATCTCCTCCGTCCCTGAGTCCCAACGCCCCGGTACCACTTCAACCTTACTTCAATACCCAAGCTTATTTGGGTTTTAAAATATATTTTTACGTTTATCTGAAAAGTTGTGTTTTGGGTTTTTTTATTTTTTTTCTTATAGCTTTGTTTCAATCTTTATTGTTTGAGGCATGTGGGCGTACCGTGAATCAGGTGAACGGAGCGGTGGGGTTGTTATCGAGTGGGAACTGGCACGTCTGTCAAGCGACGGTGGAAACAGTTCTTCAGGGCGGAACTTTACGTCCCAATTCGGGGTCTTCTTGGACGCCGAGGTGCAACGAGTCATGGGATCGGTTCTGTGTTAACTCGTGCAACTATGAGTTGAAGCCGATGATGATGATGGGGAATCAATCGGTTTCGACGGCGTCGGATCTTAGCTTGTCTTTGACGGCTAAGATGGGCGGAAAAAGGCGTGGAAGGAGGGAAGAAGAGGAAAATAAGAGAGAGAAAAAGGCAGCGTTTTATTCGGAGGAATCGGAGATAACCATTTTTGAAAGCAACGACAACGAAGAAACCCAAGACAAAAAGATTTTGAATCTCTTTGTTTGAGGGGGAAAAGGGATTTTCCCCTTCATAAACCGCACATGTAGCCAATACTTATCAAGAAAATAATAATTAATAATATAATAGGAAACTGGTTTTTTTAATTAATATTAGGTAACTATAATTTAGTATATGTTTAAAAATAATTTTCTATAATTTAACATTGAATGGACACATTTTTTGTAATCTTGATACTCGGCCATTAGCTATAATGTACTTGGATTTGGACGACAATTCCAATCAATACTTACAATTTTGATTTGGACTCACTAGTTTTTTTCCAGGACGTAAGGATGAAAAAAAAAAAGAGTACGCAAATTCTTTGAGAGAGGCCTACCGATTGATACATTTCAAAATTTTAAGAAATATGGATGGATGGGGTTGTAAATCACTCTAGTTAAGTTTGAGTCTTGTTGAGTTTTATTCAATTAAAAAAGTTTAAAGTTAAATTTGATTTAGTTCGAGTTTGAGTATTATTGAGTTTGATTCAACTTGAGTTTAAATATTATTGAGCTCGGTTTAACTGGAAAAATTCAAAATTAAGTTCGACTCAACTTCAACTTGAGTATTGTTGAGTTCGATTCATCTCGAAAAATTTAAAGTTAAGTTCAACTCGATTCAATAAACTTGTGAGTCTAAAGTTGTCAAAATTGACATAAAAAATTAAAATCAAAACATTATCATACATAGTTCAATTGAAACTCAAATGTAAGCTCGAATTAAAATCAAAACATTTTCATACTTAATTTGATTAAAACTCGAACTCAAATTTAAACCTTAAATACACAAAACCTTGTATTTGGTTTTGCGTCTGATGTGAATGAGATTGTGAATGAGAATGATTGAGTTATGAAGGTTAAGTTTCTTTACTAATCACCAATTTATCTTATATAAGTATTCATTAAGTTAATTAAGCTTTGCTGCTGCCCTCAGTAATTACTAATATATGCTTTTTTATTAGGGTAGATGATAAATTAATGGATATCTTGCAAATAGTTTCATAATAATTGAAAATTATTGAAATATGAAGATTTAAATTAAAAAGATTGATATATATGAATTAAAATTGATTTTTGTTTATGATAAATGGGTTTGGGAACCTAGTTTCAATTTTGTTTTTGAATATAGAATCTTTAACATAAAAATGTAGGAAGTAGGTAGGAAGCAGCACATGAAGATGAAGTAGGTGATTGACTATTGAGACAGAGAATATATGTATGGGATTGGGTGGTATCGTACATGCTTTATGCAAAGTTAAACAAGCATGTGATGTGAAGGCAGCAGACACAAGACTCTTTCTAAATTAGGAATTTTATTAGGAATTTTCTCATTGTAAAATTTAGGATTAATATACTTTTAGGTGCTTAAATTATACCTCAAATTGTGCTTAAATTATACCTCAAATTAATTTTTGATGTCTCAATAATTTTTCGTTAAAAATATGTACCTAACGTTTTCTTCTTTGCACTTTTAGGTACTCACCATTATATTTTTTTTTATTTTCTAAAGGCTTAATACACTTTCAGGTGTCTAGACCTTAATGATCGTAAATTTGATAGTTATATAACACGTGTTATGCATATAAAATTTCAAAAAAAAATATTTAAAAAAGATTTAATATTAGAATTAAAAAAAACCAAAAACCCTCAAAATTCCACTGCCAATCGGCCACCGTCGGTTGGTGACCATCATCGTTGACACCAGCAGACTCTTTTGCCGTCACACCCAAAACCATGCCCTCACCCATGATTAAATTACGTCAATCGTCTTGAAAAGTGTCGCGAAAGGTCTCCAGTTTTCTAAGTTTTCCTTTGTTGTTTTTTCGACGATTTCGACGGCTACAAATGGTTGTAGGTTACTAGAGGTGGCAAACGGATCCTTCGGATCAAGTTCGGTTCAGGTTATTTCGGCTTAATTCAGTTCGGGTTTAGACTTAATTCGGGTTGGTTATGGTCATTTCGAGTTTTGTTTTTATTCATGTCTATAGTAAATCGGGTTCAGTTCTGATCGTGTCATTTTAGGCTTCGGTTTTATTCAAATCTATTGTAAGTTGGTTCAATTCAGGTATCGGGTCAGGTCAATATCAGATTGGTTGATTTTGTGTTAGATCAAATGATTTTTGGGTTGGGTCAATATCCGATAAATTATTTTTGGTTTGGGTCTACTTTGGATCTTCGGGTCAATTCGAGTTGAATTGAGTATGAGTCAAATCAAGTATATATAGAATTATTGATATAATTTTGTAAAAAAAAAACGTATTTTTTTAAAATCTTATCATTTGTGTTCAATTTCATTCAAATTCAGTTATCATTTAAGATTATCATTTAACTCAGACTGGACCTATAAAATATGTTAGAGTTTGTGTTGAAAACATTTTGATGTTTCGATATAACAAATTAAATTAAATGAATTTTAAGATTTCACAAATGATTTTCTAAGTATATTCGATTTAATTACTCGAATATCAAATTATTACTCCAAGTCTTTCAAGATCAATTTTAAACCTTACTAAATGTGTATCACAAAGTATTTTGAACCGAAAACAAGCCTAAAATCAATTTTTCAAAGTGATGCACCAATGCACCATTCCATGCATCGATGCACCAATTAATTTTTCAAACATCGAATGCATTTTATGCATCGATGCACAAGACCATGCATTGATGCACTCAGGTTTTTCAAAACATCAAATGCATTTTATGCATCGCTGCACTCTAAGTGCACCGATGCACTAAGAGTTCAACGGTCAAAATATTTGAATTTTACACTGATGCACCGATGCACCTAGGGTATGCATCGATACACTGATGCTCCCAATTGCTTTAATTAATTGGTTTCACACTTAAACGACTCTATTAACTCCACTAATCATCCCCAATGTTCAGAACCATTTGAAGGTGTATTTAAACAAGCTTAGAAGCCATTAATCAACAACAAGCAACTAGAATCAAGAGAGAATCAAAGAGAAAGCATCAAACCTCAAGTTTGAGCATTTCAAGCCTATTTTTCATTCAATATTTATTTTTCTTTCAAGAACACTACTTATACTCAATTGTATTCATTCTTGAGTGTTCTTTTCTTTGTTCTAGAATTGTGCAAACAATCTACCTTGTGAGGATTTCCTTGTAAGTTTGCAAATTTGTAATCTTCTCTTTGGGAGAGAGTGTTATCAAGAATTTGAGGTATAATTCTTGAGGGATTTGTAAGGTGACTCTTTGTCCTCAAAAGAAAGACAAATTAGTGAATTTGTGGAAAATCCTTAGTGTGGATAGCTAAGGTAGTGGACGTAGACTATTGTTGAGAAAGTCGAACCACTCTAAATCGTTGTGCAATTACTTTCAATTTTCTGCAAAAGCTTCCACAAAAATTTCAATTGCCAATTCACCCCCTATTGGCCGATTCTGTCGATCGATTAACTCAACAATTGGCATCAGAGCCTAACTCGTTAAGAAAGTTTAACCACCTTGAGACGATCCTCAAAGAAGCTCTACCAATTCCCGACACAACCGAGAAGATGGCTTCCACCTCCGGCTCGTTCCACATGGAAGACTCCCTACTAACAGACAAGTCTCCATACTTCAATGGAGTCAACTATTGTCATTGGAAGAAATTAATGAAGGTATTCATCCAATCCAATGATCTTGATGCATGGGAGATAATCGAAAACGGATACTCTTCTCCAAAGAAGAAGGAGAAGAAGAGGAGTGACAAAGAACGGAAGAAAGCTCAACTTAATGCCAAGGCCATGAACATAGTGTTGTGTGCATTTGGTCCTGAAATCTATGAAGGAGTTTCTTCATGTTCAAGTGCCAAGGAGCTTTGGAATAAGCTCGAGGAAATCCATGGAAGCAAGAAAGAAGAACCAACAAAGGTGGTGTCTCTAATGGCTTGTGAAGAGCCCGAGGTATCTTCTAACTCAATTGAATTTAATTCATATACGTTTGATGAGTTACAATATGATTTTAATAGGTTATATTCGGAGTTTGAGACCATGAACTCCAAATATAAGAAAATGATTTCAAAATTTAAAATCGAAAATGATTTTCTTTTGAAAACAAAAATAGATTTTGAAAGCCAAAATGAAATTTTGAAAAAGGATTTAGAACTTTCAAAAATAAAAATTGAAAGTTTTGAAAAAGAAAATTTTGATTTAAAAGTTAGGTTTGAATGCTTAAAGAAAAAGAAATCATTTTAAATAATTCATTTAGTTCAATAATGACAATATGTTCACATTGTCATTATCATGGTCACAAGGAACATACTTGTCCTTTGAAGAAAGGAAAACGTTTTAAAATTAGGCAAGTATGGGTTCCAAAAGGAACAAGGGGCATTGAAACTAACGTTCAAGGATCCAAAGAAATTTGGATACCAAAAGCTACTTAAATGTCTCTTGTAGGTCTGTGGGAGCAATGGTGATGAAAGTGATGATATTCAAGATGCTCTAGCCACACGTGAAAAATGAATGGGTAACCTCTAAGCTTAATGCTTTTAATTTTGGTTATTCGGTTGCTCGTTTATTTTTAAGCATGCATGAGTTTTGGATTTAAATGATTATGTTTTGTTTTAATCTCATGTATGTTAAAAACAATTGGTATGATGAACATTTTAATGATTTAATGATTTTACATAATTCTTAGTTCATCATAATGAAATTTTGGTCAAAATGGGTTTTAATGCAAATGATATCTCTTTAACAATTGATATCAATTTTTAAAAAAATTTGATTTTACAAATTTTAAATTTTTGACCTAAATTTAAATGTTTATGCATGTGATTTAAATGAAAATGATATCTCTCTAACAATTGATATCAAAATTTTTAAATGCATAAAATTTTTGGAAAACTTTATGCATATGCACTTAATTTCAATAATTAATATTGCATAAAGTATTTTAGACTTGGATGTATTGAATTTCATGAACTACTAACATGTTTGTTATTCTTTGTTGAAATTCAATTTTGTTTAAGTGTCAAGCTCTTAAAAGCTTAATTTTATTTGGAATGCATTTATTGAGGGGGAGCTTTGATTTTTCAAATTATTTT